TTCCCCCTCCCCACCCTTATAGTTTTCAATAGCGTTGATCCTTTTTTACGCAGGGACGAAAGAAGCATAGTAACAGCCCACAAAACAAGCTCTATTATTTTCATAGAGCACCAGTGTTTCATACACGGGGAGCTGAGGATGAGCTCCGAGGCAGTTTAGTTAACATAATGCAGCACCTGTAGCCGCGGATTAAGTGAGAGGATAGAACACGGTGTAATTTGCTGCTTTTCATACAGCTAAAACCAGAGGTGAGCTGTGACGGCTGGAGCATCCTGCCCCTGTTGTCAGCAGCTGATGTCAATGTGGGTTTGTATTTTTAAACAAACTCACTTTTTCATTAAATCTTGTTTCTGGTCAGTGACTCGACTGTGTAGCTAGATGTGCGTTTTGTGTATATTTTGTGTAAATGTGTATTTTATACTAGCTGATGTAAGGAAGTTATGCTCGGTACTTTGGGAGACTTGGGGTGTGGGTCCGGCTAACCACCAGGGAGAATGGTACCTTTGTTTAAGATGCCACGATGCAACTCCCTCAGGCCTGTCCTATTTTGAAGTGGAGACATATTAAAACAGGGGTATATAGTGCAGACATGAAATGAGGGCACCAGGGCTATCTTCTGCTTTCTTTTGGGGGCAGATAAGGAGGCAAGGGGAGGTGCAGCAGGCAGCTTTCCAGTACCTAAATGGGGCCTACAAGAAATCTGGAGAGTGATTTTTTACAAGGGCGTGGAGTGACAGGACAGAGGGAATGGCTTTAAACTGACAGAGGGGAGATTTAGGTATTAGGATATTAGAAAATATCCTAATAAAGAAATTCTTTACTGTGAGGGTGCTGAGGCCCTGGCACAGGTTGCCCAGAGAAGCTGTGGCTGCCCCATCCCTCGCAGTGCTCAAGGCTAGGATGGACGGGGCTTGGTGCAACCTGGTCTAGTGGAAGCTGTCCCTGCCCATGGCAGGGGGTTGGAAGTGGATGATCTTTAAGGTCCGGTCCAACCCAAACCATTCTGTGATTCTACCAAGGAAATAAACAGATTGTGTCTTGTCCCCTCCCCCCTTGTTTTTTCCATCCAGCAAATAAAACAAAGGGAAAAGACCACACTGGAAGATGAATTGTGCTGCCTCCTGCTAAGCCTTAATAGGTTTGCAAAAGAGATGTGGAGAACCCAAGTAAGGAGGGTGACATAATGAGTTGGAATGTGGGGCTTTTGTCCCTGTTGTGTTTATCCCTGTGCCATATCAGAAACATTAGACATCCAACAGGTGATGTTTATAGCTGAAAGAACCAAACAGTTCCTCCTTTCTCTAAAGGCTACATACTTTTCCTATCTAATCAGTAATACAAAATGGGGAGGTGCTGACACAAGCAGCAATAGCCAGTGACTTCATCAGAGTGGCAGCAGCTCTGCCTTTAAAGCGTGAACAATTCACTGTGCGGTTGGGAGGTTTGCTTTGGTTTTTATTTTCTTAAGTCTGCCTTCCGTGTAGGAACCTGTGGCCACCTTTAGGACTGTTCTAGTCTCATGTTACATCTATGCTGAGGCAGAGCACATTACTGCTCGCTATTACCCCCAGCAAGCGTCAACTGCTGCTCTTGCAATCAAACAAATGTAAAGCAAATAACTCGTCACCGGCACTTTTTACCCTTGCAATTAGTGGCTTTGACATAAGAACTCGAGGAAGCTGAATCACCAAAGATAAATGTTAACACTGTGTACATAACCATGAGCAGCAAGGACTTCTTGAAAACTTCAGCAAATTGTTTCTTCTGTTCCCCAACAGACTGGCTATTCCTAAATGGGGAAAACCTGTGATTTCACTGAGGTGACCAGAACTATTTCACCTGCAGTGCAGTAACAACTGTTTCTCCATTCTCTTTAAAAAAACATGCTCTACAAAAAATTCTGTAACGTTTGTATGGCTGGGGAGTTTGAAAACTGCATATTGTAGAGTGCATTTGTGTTGTTTGCTGTGACAGTGCCCTGGATTGTAGCTGGAATGTGAATTTCATCTATAAAACATGTTAACCTCTCAGCTGCACAATTCAAATCTCAAAATTACCTCCTGCCCACACTGCGTCGTATGAAGCTAGAGGAGCTGAAGCTACAAGGGGAAAAGTGACTTCCAGTGTAACCGAGAGCATGGCTGCCTGCACCTTCCATACTGGCCAGGCTTGGGCCCGCAGATGCCACAGCCCCTCATGCTGTGGCGAGCCAGCCCAGCTGGAGCTCTGGGGACACGGTGCACTGCAGTGCAGCGTGGCACATTTGCCCACCTCCATTTATGCTTCTGCCATGAGACCACAAGCAACATGACAGAGACATAAGGGTGCACGTTCCTTTCTGGAGGAGCTGGTGTGCTATACCAGTGGGGAAAACCTCAAGGTGCCCATAGAAGGACTGGGAAGTGCCAGCTGTGGAGAGCCATGCCACTGCCAGGATCACCCAGGTCAAGTGCAAGTCAGTGTAATGATCGTTTTCATAATCACTTCATTTAAAAAGACATTATGTGGTGCCCTCACTCTTCACTATAAACCTCATGGTTAGGTCAGGTAGCTGGGGTAGGAGCCATCTTGTCTGGAGTCCATTTCCATGTTATAAAGGTGAAGGAAATGTCTCCCTTGATGCACATCTAAAGCAGGAATCCTCACCTACCCCGGAGCATGTGTTTTTCCTTTTCTGTAAGATGTCATGCAAATAGTTATCTTTCTGAAACAGAAACAAGAGGACACTTGTTCTGTGACAACACATTTGCTCTTAAAAGGCTACCAGATGTACATGGCCCAGGCATGCCGAACAGGTAAGATGAACCCCCATTGGTTTAATGTTCATCTGAGCACAAACCAGGGTTTACCATGAAAGGTGTTTCTAAAGGAGGGAATAGCAAGACTCATATTTTGTACTTGGTGCTGAGCAAACAAATGCACCAGCCTACACAGCATGAATTACAACTGCTCTTTCTGGAATCTGTCAAGGAAATGGCAGCGGTCTGAAAGCGGCATGTAGCAGGAACTAGTGGGTACAGAGGGACTTGTTTACGGTGAGGGGGATGAGACGGGCAAAAACCACCTCCCGAGCCTTTTTTTAGGTAAGTGCTACCATTTGAGCCATGAAGGTCTAGCAGTTCTTGCCACCACCTCCCTGCACTCCGCTGCCTGTGCAGCTTTCCCAGCCATGGTCAGTAACTCCTCCTCCCCAGGCCACAGCTTTCTTCATGGCTGGGGCTGGTTCTGAGTCAGCAGCCTGCAATATTGTATTTCTTCTACATTTAGACTGGATGTTAGGAAGAAATTCTTTACTGTGAGGGCGGTGAAGCAGTGGCACAGGTTGCCCAGAGCCGCTGTGGCCGCCCCATCCCTGGCAGTGTTCAAGGCCAGGTTGGACGGGGCTTGGAGCAACCTGGTCTAGTGGAAGGGGTCTCTGCCTGTGGCAGGGGGGGTGGAACTAGATTGTATTTAAAGGTCCCTTCCAGCCCAAACCATTCTATGAAACTGCCTCCTAGATAATAAAATAATCCTCCACTCCCCATTTTCTCTCTGTGGTAGCTGGATTTTCTGAGGATGTGTTTGATCTGCAACGTGATCAGTACATGAAGATGGTGATACAAGTTTAGCAATCCCTTTGTGAGATGTAGTTGATATCCCGTAAAAAATGGTTCTCAGATTCTGCACACAGACAGGTTTATGTAAAATATATAAACATTTGTCCAAGTTGTTACAGATTGCATAAATATGGCATTTTTACTGTTGCATTTACAGATGTGCATGTACAATGATGTGCAAATAATCACAATTTGATTACAATCTTTGAAAGGTACTTGAACCTTGCATCCGAGTAACGCCATGAATGAAAAATGCCCACCAAAGAATTTAAATATATAACATGGTTTAAATTCATAACAAATTTCAATGTCTTCTCAGTAAAACTTTCACACATTTAAAATAGTTTGTATTCATTTTATTTGTATATGTCAAAATACAATTTTTTTTTTTCCAAAATAGTGGGTTTTGCAACTAGTTTCATGCAGATACAAGGTCTGCTCAGTACTACCAATAAAATCAATATAGCACAGTAGCCATTCATTTTTTAGATATAAAGAATAAATAACCTAAATATAAAACACTAAAATATTAGAAACACGTATTTAATCATTCACAGGCACCCAAACTTTACCAAATATAATCCAGAATATGCCTAACTGTCTTGTAACAGAACTCAATACGTTGCAGCCATTCAATTCTTTATTTTATGTTAGCGTAAGACAATGGAAGTCCCTATGGTTCAGACCCACCTCTCATACAGATCAGTTACAATAAGATATCTCAAACTATCTGTGTACCTTTAAAATCAAGAATCCTGAGCTTGGTAGTAAGAGCATAACCTTACATCTTCAAAAAACCAATCAACAGAGAGGACATCATGTCTTCCTTACCAAAACATATCCCAGTCCCAAAAAACTACCCCCCGCCCCCCAAGTCGGCAGTAGAACACAATGACCTTTTTAAATGAAGGGGTACAAATTCACATTTAATATAGTATACAATATAATAATAATACAATAGCTACTACAAGCTTTACAATGTACAATTTGTTTTAATGGCTGATCTGCTCAGTGGTTTTAGGCAATAAACTATGTGCCGATAGGATGTCGTAGTTTGAATGGTTTAGTGAAAATATAAAAGCTGTTTCTAACAAAAGCGATCTTCACTTAAGTACTTTCTTTGTTTTTAAAGGCCACTGAAATGTATAAAATGGTCTGACATGATGGTGTTATCAAATTGGATGCCTTCTCACATGGCAGCAACAGTGCATATAAACATTAATGTGAGTGTAATGGGTTATGTTTCTCAGATGATTTAGTACATTACTTTGGCTAGCACAACAGTTTTGGACAGCACTCAGATAAATACAGGTATGTGAAATGTAGTGAAGCAGTTATATTTATGCAATTTTTTATTATGGTGAACACTATCAAATTAAAAAAAAAAGGGAGGAAAAGATAATAAAGTATTTTATATAGTTTAGACCTTTTGTAAAGATAGGGCTCCATACAATGTACAATGTCTAAATTCTTTATACCATAAAAATTAATGAACTTTGTTAAACACACTATTCTGGAGTAGCCTAATTTGCATTAACAGACATTTGCAATAGGGAAATATATTCAAGCATGCCACGTGGTGGTCTGAAAAATCAAACCAGTACACATTTATATATATACAGCATCACTCAGTACCTGCTCAAATGAATGTGACGATTACAGGATCTAACATCTTTCACTACAAACTTTTTTTTTTATTTTTTTATTTTTAAAGTGACCAATAAAGGCAGAAAACAGGACTCTTAAAATATTTCTAGTTTCAACTGACTTTTAAAGCATTTTGTATAGGAAATAAATGCATATTGCACAAACAGTGAAAGCAAATGTTCCACCAAGCATCTCTGTTCCAGGTGGCTGGACAATACATCTCTAGGTAGCTACACAAATATGTAATTTAAAAGGGTGTGTGGTCTCTGCAAATGGTAAAGCTGTGAAAACACTGTACAAGACAATCTGGTACATGAATAATTAGAAGGGAAAAAAAACCAAACCCTTAAGGTTTAAAGAAAAACTGAGTATAGAAAAAACCTGGGAATTGTGGCACAACAAAAACATTATTGAGTAACTGTCTTCTGTGAGAGCTGAAAGCTTTTGTTGATGTAAAAGTGTTTATGTACAACTAAGGCTTACTGGTTAAATATCTGAGGCATATCTGGCCTTGAACACTTTCCTTATTACGCTGTAGCTGTAAACAAGATTTCTCAGTCATTTCATCTTCTCAGCAGCTGCATTTTAACAGAAACAATGATCTTGATACAAAAAAACACACAGGTAAGAGGGCGTTTGGCAGGATATCTGAAAAATGACAGTCTCCAAGGGATCTTCCCACACTTCCAGTGACTGCCATACTGTGGTCCACTGGAGTTACTAGTGATGTGCAATACCGTTATTCGCTGCTGTAGTAAACCCTTTATTTGGAAAGTTTGCTTATAACTCTGATCAAGGCCCCATTTTCATCTTTTAGTCTCTGGTTGTCTGCCTTCAGGTCTGGTAACATCTGTGAGAAATGAAACATGATGGTTATTTGCTATTGTACACCAAGTTAAAGCAGACAGGTCCTGGGCATAAAAACCTTCATTCAGCTTAAGCATCTTGGCAGATCTCTCCCTTCATTCAGCAGTTCAGAAAAATTGCACCTTTTGGCATGATACAGGTAAGAGTTATAGATTAGGAGGTTTCATTTGCTTGGACTAGATGCACTGAAACTTGGTGGTGCAGATGACAAGCCTCCGACAAAAGCATTTATAGTAGTGTGAAGAAAGCAGTGTTACAGTAGCATTACGGTAGCGTAACTAAATGCTTCAAATTTCAGTGCAAACCAAAAAAGAAATGTTGATTACCACCAGTTTAAAGAGGCTTGTCTATGCTGCACTTGCACAGTTTCATAAAAACATGCTGTGGCTAAGCGTATCTACCACTGTGCTCGTGGATGACTTCACCCAGATCAGATAAGTGTGATTCAGCTTGTTAGCTCACAGCATTAATCTTCCAACCACTTCCAAACTCATGTTGAAGCACACATCCTGTAATTTCAGCTCATATCCCTGAATAGCATAGTTCACACAAGATCAGATCATTGAAAGAGATCACTGAAACATCAGGCTGCATACTCAGGCATTCAACAAGTTAGGAGATGGCAAGTTAAGGTTGCCACAGGAGATGGGTGACACACAAGCACAAAAGCTGGAAGGCAGAAGCCAAGTGAGGTGAGAGTTGGGCAGGATCAGACAGGAAAGGAGGACAAGTCAGTGCACAGAGGTTTGTACTGGAGGAATTTAACTTGTCAGAGAAACCAGAAGTAATCTCAGCAGTTCTCCCTATCTACATTCACACACCGATAACAAACCACCCATAACACTCACGGCTAAATTACGTGTATGGTTTTTAGCAGCAGGTTTACACAGGAGGTAACAGCTTATTCCTGCACAGTGGTTATTCAGTAACCTCAAGTGCAAATGCATGCAAGAGGCCTAAGTCCAGCTAATGACCTATGTAACAGCTGCTACATATTTTTTCATGAAGAAATTTTCTTGCCACTAGTTTTGTTTTCATTTTATTCAAGCAAAATTATACTTTCAACCTCATTATATTCAGAACATTGTTATGGAACAGAAAGAACTGACAGGTTTTAAAATGCAGGGATTAACCATGCATTACACTAGAGGCTTCATTTTCACATGTCCCCTGGAGGATTCCTATCCACACTCAGTTCAGCAAATAGCAGACCCCCTCATAGAGCGAAACACGATGATGCACTGAAGATGACTGAGGTATAGGATCTAGAGTTTATTTACCTGAAAATACCAAAGTATGTGAAAGAAAGACAACTGGAGATCATAAGAGAAAAAAAGGTGGTCACTACAATTGGAGTAAGTAAAAATCACTCTGCAAACCTGGACTCCAGCTCTGCTCTGGTGGAGCTTAGGGCAAGCCACCTAAACTGAGCTCTTCACAGAGTCAGAGGGAAACTTCCATTATAGTCAAGAGAGAGCTGTGCTCTGAACAGAAAGTGCTGTAAAATGCTGATTACTTTCAAAAACCACATCAAAGTGGAATTGGGCAACACAAATAATCGTTTGGCTATTTTCAAGTATTATCTATGTTAGAGTTTCTAAGCTGTAAGAACTGTTGTCCAAGATACACGTGCTAGGGGTCATATCGAGATAACAGGCGTGTGGACCGTGCATTCATGCATACACCTCTAATATCAGGATAAACCTGGGGTGGTTCTATGATGCGTATCTGCAAACAATGGTACAGCAATTTGTTCAGGCAAAGCAGCCAAAATCTTCCCTTCATCCTTTTCATTCTGTTCCGGACTTCACATCAAAGATCCTGGGTGAAACCCTAACAGCCTTCATCTAGGAAGCAAGGGGCTCTGGTTTTGGTCTTGTTAAATGGGTATCTCAGCAAGTGTTGTGTGTGTTTTCCAGCAAAACCTCAAAGTAATTCCAGGAATGTCACAGTCCTCCTTCAACTCACTCACTAAGGAGCTGCAGCCCAAAATGCTTAGTGACATACAAGAAGACCCACACAGTGGTATATTTGCTGGTGAACTACTTTAATAAAAAAGGTGCTGTTCAAATGCAGAGTTTTAACATAATCCAGTACCATTACATGTCTGAAAATCTCAGTAGATACATTTTAATCCTGATTAAACTAGTAGGTAGAATAGGTATTAAGAAAATATTTTCTCTTTTGTTGTGAGTCTGCTAAAGAGTAGGGGAAGACTGGTAGGAGACAAAAGCAGTTATGAGTAATAGGAGATTGATCAGGAAGGATAAACTCAAGTAACCTAAAATACTTGTGGCTTCTCAAGCTATGCTAATCCCCGCATACTTTAAACCTAGCCAAAGACATTTATACAATTTTCCCGGAGCAGTGCATTTCTATGGTACTCAAACTTCTCATGAGGTGACACCACACACCTTTCATGTGCAGAGGCAGCAAAAAAAAGGTTTTGCAGTATATTCAGTAAAAATAGTTATACGCTGTACTTAACACTTTGAATTCCAATTTGCTTCTCACTAAAATAGCAAAGTATCTTCCTGTGATGAGATTCTTGAATAAGATTACAAATACACTATTTTGCCTATCTGTATTGTGTACGACTAGCTAGTAACTTTGCAGTGCTGTTAAGCAAATAATTATTCAATAATCACCTGGCATACATGGAACCAACTCAGCTCTCTATAGTAATAATAATGTCTCTGTTTGCTGGAGGATTTAACACTTTTTACATATAAAACAGCTTTGTAAATTAAGATTACAAAAAGGTACCTCCTCAGATTCATCAGGCACACTGCCATGGTTAAGCTACCATCATAATGTCAAGCCTCCCTGCTGTGTTTCCATTGCATTTCTTTTGCTAGCCAGCCTCCTCAAGCTCCACAATGATCTGCCATTGAAAACTCCCCCTACAGAAAGGAATACTGAATAGTTTTCTGTGGGTTAACACCCTGAACTGGCTTATCATGGTTAAAGGAATGCTGGTGCTAGCAAAAAAAGACGGTATGGATGTGTGGCTGTGGACAGCAGTCATTAGATTAGCTCAGCTGTGTTGAAAACCCACATTGTTAGCTGAAGCCGATGTAAAATGGGCTGCCCTAAAGGGACAGCTCTGCCTCCTCATGCAGCAGTGTGTGCCTGCTGCTTCCTGCACGTTAGTTTAGTTATTCAGCAACTCCAGCGTGAGGTGGATCCAGTAACATAAGGAATAAAGGGATTTGTTTTCAGCCAGGTCAGTGAGCTGAAGCGTTAACACAAGGGAATGTTGAGGTATGTATACAGGGCCTGGACCAGGAATAACCTTTCTATCCACATCCTATTGTTCAGACCAGCTCCAGGAAGACACAAAGCCAAAGGATAACCTTCTCTTTATTTCATGCCTCTTGGTGGGAAAATCCTGAGATCAGACTGCTGAGCAGAATGAAAAAATATACACTCCTTGCCTTGCTTCTAAGTGAGAAGGGGGCACGCAAAGGAAGCAGTTTAGCAAGAGTCACTGCAGAGTGACTGCACATTTTAAAATCTGTTTCACCTACACATCTTAAACTTAGTTTTACTTACACATCTTATAAGTTCACTGAAATCTCCACCCTATTCAGCTGTTATATAAGAGGAGGAAGAAAGGCATGTAGATTTGGTGTGGAAGGAAACTACATTTTGTGTCTCACAGAAGGTTACTGAAACAGTCCTGAAATAACACTAAGGACAACAAACTGGCACTTTTTTCCAAGATGAAACTCAAACCAGTTCATAGCTTTAACAAAAGGAGACTGAACCGGTATGAACCAATCTGACACAATAGGCAGGTTTTTTCATGTCTGTGTTTGTACAAGCCATGCATTATATACCTACATATATAGCAATATAAATCAACAACCAGTGCTAAAATTGGGTGGTTTAAGCTGTCCAGATAAAAATAAGGAGTGGCCAGAACCACACAGGAAATTAGTATGTAAAAACATTTGAAAGTAAGTGTATCAACTTGAAATTCCAATACACTGCTGAAAGAAAAGAGTTTGGTCCCCTCTAAACACTAAAAGACATAAATGTAAGAAATAAAGTGCTAATGCAGCTGTTCAGGAATACACAATATTGAAACCAGTTCTCAAAACATTCTTTAGTTGAGACTAGATTTGTATCAATTCTATGCACTTCAATTATACTGCAGTAAAAAAGCTCAATTCCTAATTTCAATTTGCTAGAAAACTAGAGACAAAAAAAAATCTATTTAATTTGAGCATTTACTCAAACATCAAAACAAGGGACTGACTTGAGTGTATCCTAGTGCGAATTCAAATCTTTTCAATTGTTGCCAAGGTTTTAACATGTCAAAGGTCTCCTGGATCATTGCCAATTTATCTTCAAGTGAGCAGGGACAAGCTTCAGTGCTAGCAAGGACAATACCACACCATACCCACACATCTGCGACACCTCTAGTTGGTATACTGGACACCATGCTTTAGCCACACTTCCATAACCGAGCAGCAGTTAAGGCAGTTTCTGGCACACAAGTGTTAATAGCAAAATTCTACCCAAGCACAAACTGAATGTCAACACCTGCCTGGCTACACAAAGGAGAAGGAAGAAATTACAAGTCCAAAGAGCGCAGTTGCCTATGGGACCCTGACAGCTTGGCAACCACTCGGGTCAAGGCCCTATTCTCAATCACCAGTCGCTCATTTAGGTGTCTCAAAGATTGAATCTGCTTTATTTGTTGCAGGTTCTGCAGGAATCAAAGAAATAGGAATGAAAATGAGGAAATACCACCCCCCACCCCCCATTTACATTATGTTTAAAAGAACTAGAGATGAGCAGAATTGAAAGAAAACTTAGAAGAGACAGTCCTGTTTAAAGTAGATAAGTCGCTGTGAAAGGAAAGTATCAAACAAGTGGCACATTCTTGAAAAGCAATCTAAGAACCAGCAGTGATTAGTCACAGCTTTCCAAAACAGTTCAGGATACATTAACAATGAGAGCTATTCCTGGAATTCTTTACTTAACATCCTAATTGCACAAACTAAACCTCCTGTTCAAAAGTCTGTAAATAATGACACATTTAACATATACTTTTACACGGTGGTGCAAGAAATGATAGGAAAAGTATTTAATCTTTAATTCAAAACTTTCACATATTGCTTATTTTTGGGGGAAAAAAAGAAAAATAAAATAAAATAAAAGGCAATTTGCATTCTCTATTTTTCTAGGCAGCCCAACCTCCCCTAACAGGAATTTAAAGGTTGATGACAGAAGCTCACATCCTGTCTTCCACTCTTGGACACAATTATTTTCCTCTACCATAGTTTTCTTTCTACGTATTTCACTTCTAAAGACCCACTGAGGAACCACAGACATTGTGTCCTCCCTTACAGCAAACAATCTTGGTTTGAACCCAAGGCAGCTAGAGGCATTGTGGATATAATACAAAAAAACCTGTCAAATTTCTTCACTTTTTCAATCTTATCAGAGGATTTAACAGTGGTAAAAATAGGAAATGAAAAAAAAATCCATGACTGGTTTAAAAAAAAAAAAAAAAAAAAAAAGCTAGAGATAGATATTAAAAAAATTTTCCTTCTGGGATTCAGTTTATACACAGTTGAAAAAAACCCCAGAAATCAGTGAATGCAGTAAGCATTACATATTTGTCAGCGTCTGAAATCTATCTCCTGCTTTTTCCTTAACTAAAACCTGATTATTATTCAGTATAAAAAGGAAAGATTTTCTTTTGATATTAGTAACATGCTGTATAACACATAATTTAAAGAGCATGAAGCAACATTAATGCGTAAATAACTATGGAATTATATGCAACCATTATTTTTTAAGTTAATAAAGTAGAGGGTATCACATCAAAATCATGGACTGCAATTCCATCTTGATTAAATCAAGATATGTTTCACTCCAGCCATCTCTGACTGTTTCTTGTTAGCCAATGCATTAATGAACCCTAAGTCTTAGTGCTTTCTTAGAGGTCCTACACATCTGACTGCTTATGCTGGCCTAACAGCTTCATTCAAGCTATGACATGGGTGATTCTGAAACGCAGTTATAACTTAGTTATTTTCTAAGGAAATTATAGAGACCAGTAATACTGCCAGACTACATGTTGCACTGACATATGTTATTAATAGTTTAACATGTTAATAGTTTACTTACTTTTAGTTCCTCTTCCATTTCAGATATCCTTCTTTCTAGAGCTCTTCTTTCCTAAATTGAAATGTGTGTGTTAAGACTGAACAATACCATTTTAAAAAAACTACTGCTTGTAAATACTGTGTTAACAGTGAAATACTTCAAGTTTCAAAGATCATACAACCAAAAGCATAGTGTGGACAGGAAATTTGTGATGGCAGTGATATACAGAAATTTTCTCAATATGGAATTTTAATATCAGAGAAGGAAGAGATATACATCAAGTCCTACAAAACATACCCCTTCCTTTACACAAATTTAGACAGGCTGTAAGTATGATTTGTTTGGATTTATTTTTCATAAGCTAGGCTTCTGTAATAGCTTAAGATACAAGAAATGCAGAAAATGATCAGAAAAAAAGAATATTAAAAGAAACAAGCACAAAAGCATAAGCTTTCATAGACAAGCAAATCTAGTTGAAACATCTGTCTCAGCTCAGTGGTATCTGTCCACACTCTATGTAGTATACATACACTCAAGTTTACATTAAAGGGGTTCAGCTGAGTACCAAAGAAATCTAGCTACGTAAGACCACCTGCTTCTTCAGTAAATGTTTCCTGAATCATAGAATCATAGAACAGTTAGGGT